CTGCCCTCCCTTGCCAGCCCTCTTCCACCCAGGGGGACAGCCCAGCACAACTCAGTCCATGCTTGATAATCACCCACCTTCATACCCCACATCCAGCAAATCTCCCTGAGTAACTCACAGCCACCAACCACCAGGGTGCTGAGCTTTCCTCTGTGTCCTTCCAGTGTCTTCAGATGACCAATCCTGGGAAGAGGAAGAAGACCTGGAGGAGCAAAGCCTCTATGTAAGACTCCTTTTCTTTGTCTTCTAAAGAAATTTTGCTTTTGTGATTTATTCTCAATTAATTTTGATATGAAAATCTGAAAACGTACATTATGTAAAGCATATGCAATTCTCTTTGTGGGGGTGAAGTTCAGTGGGAGTGTCTTCCCAACTAACATGCAATACACTTGGAGGTTTTCAAATGGCAGCATCCATTATGGGCTGTAATGCAGAGGCACTGTCCTCAACACATTTTCCTCCTTGGGTTAAACATTGTGTGTTTGCCCATTAAATCCACTTTAAAGGTGAATTCTATGAATAAACATCTTATTGTTCCATAAGCATCCTCATGGTTTTGGGGCTGTTGACCTACGGCTCAGCCACCGTACCACTTCTAGTTTTCTACCCTTGCCAAGGGAATAACAGCTCTATGTGAAGGGCACCGCAGAATCTCATCCTCATAATGTGTCCTTTTGTTTAATTTCAGAAACTATCCCAGGAGAGGGTGAGAAGTAAGTACCGTGAAGTAACTCACTTCATGAAGGACCAACTTGCTGCTTGAGTGTATAGAAACCTGATTGTGGGATCCCGCTAGGAAGGAGGATTGGGGGTCTCCTGAGAGAAAGTGATTTGGCCAATATAGAACTCCAGCCAGAGAGGCTGTAGGAAGGTTTGTCTACCCAGAGCAAAGACCAGGAAATGATGTGTGAGGCAGCGTGGCTTCAGCTGGAGGAAGAGGCATGGGTGAGTCACTCTTTCTAATGACTTGTCCTGATGTTTTTGTTTCTAAAGGCTGGATTCTGGGGAGCATCTTCAGGCTCACTGAAGACGACCCCCAAGGTAGGGAACTACTTTCCAGGTAGGACCTGATGGGAAAGGGTTCCTGAGAGCCTTCAGGTTGTCCCCGCTGCTTGAGGGGCTGAAGAAGGGAGTATGAAATCAGAAAGAAAATGAAAATGTGTGTGAGGTTTGGTTTGTTATTTTCAAAGTTTATTGTCATAAAGGTAGGAATTGTCTCTCTGGGCTATGAGGGTGCTGTGTTCATTAGAGATGATTTTTGCAGTATGCCCACTCTTTTCTGCCCAGTGAAACATCAAAACCTTTGGTTTGCATTAATCAGCACTTCTTGGGATTATTCACAAGGGATGTAGGGCTGGGCATTGAGTGTCATCTGTAAAGGAAGGAATCTGTGGGAACATCTCTCTCACAGGCATTTACTTGAACTTAGAGGAAAAGTTCTGCTCTGTGCCAAGGGGAAATTGATAATCACCCTCTAAACTTTTAAGATTTGTTATAGCACGTTTATGTTTCTGTCCTCTCTGTGGGTTTAAATGGGTCTCCCAGGGGTGGATGGCACAGTGAATGTTCACTCTGGGCTCACTGGTACATCTCCAGTCTCCTGGGAAGGCAGGGGAGAAGTCTGACCTTGATCACATTTGTAGCCTCCACTTCCCACCCCTACCACGGATTCTGAGATATGGCTTCTTTCTCTCCTGTTCTCTAGTTTTTGGGGAAACCAAGAGTTCCTTCCCACAGAAGATGGCATTACACTATTTCCTGTCTTCAAATATTAGGCTTCCGTTGTTCTCTAAGTTGATATTTATAAGTTAAGTTCTAGACCTTTTATTCACAGATTGCTAAAAGTTGTGCAGCAAACTCCTATGATAAAATGTGCTGATAGCACATAATTCTGTCCATGCTACGGATGACATTTTTATCTTCGGAGGATCCTCATTTTATATAATAAGATACAAAACTAAGTGGGCACCCTCTATCCAGTCTGGGGCACTTCATTAAAGACCTGAGTTTGCTGCTATCTGTCATTTGCTTTTTTTCATGACAACTTTGAACCACCTAAATATTGCCAGCACCCTCTTTTGGGACCCTGACATCTTGAGAGGGTGAGATGGCACAACTGCAGTCATCCCTGTTCCTCTCTGAAATTTCCCTCCTCCTTTAACCTTCTCCCTTAAGCAACCTGCTGTGACTGCTAATGACTTGTTTAGATCTCTCCAGGTTTGGACTATTATACATAGAATAAGTCAATATGTGTTTCTCGGTGTCTGGCTTTTTCCCTCACATTATGATTTGAAATTCATTCATGTTTGTAAGTGTACCTGTAGTTCTTCCATTTCCTTGTTGCATACCATTCCACTGTAGTCACATATTACAGTTTATCCACTCTACTGTTGATTGACGTCGAATTTTCTTTTTCTGTTTTTCAATAATTATGGCTGTGATAAGTAATGTTGCTTTGAGTATTTTTGTCAATGGTTTTGGAATAATACTGGCACTCATTTCTGTGTAGTAGATTGTTAGAAGGGAACATATCTTTTATTGTCATGAATAGTGCCAAATATTTTTCAAAATGGTGATGCTAATTCATGCTCCTGTAGCAGCATATGTGAGGAGATATTTCTCCAAATCCTTGTGAACTTAGTTTTATCTCTCCCTAAAAATTCCATCACTGTGGTTAGTCTTTCATTTGTATAGCATCTTACTTAAAATTTTTAATCAAAAATTTTGTTTTAATCTAATGATGCAGGCCAGTAGATTTGTGTACGCCCGTCTGACCCCAGCCATGTAAGTAATGATTGATCAAAATGTCACTATGCCACATGACTGTCCTTAATAACAACTGCTTAAGTTATTAAAATGAAAATGATGACTGATACACATTTGAGTCTTGGATACTATGTGGTCACTTCTCTACGTTGCCTCCTTGAAGCATCACAATCACTTTGAGGCATTATTAGTTTGGTTCTATTCATTATACAGATGAGAAATGTGAGTCTCAAGTAAATTATTCACCCGACACACCCACAGCTGGATCTCTCTAACACCAAAGGCTAATCTATAAACTAACATGCTGCACTGCCTGTAGCGGTGAAGTAGACTTGCCGTATCAAACAGAATCACCTAGTCCTCAGTTACACCATTCAGTAAGCATCAGCACAGCATAAAGTGTGCTCCCTGTTGTGTTGTGGGGACATAACATCTATCCCAGGCCTCTGTGGCCGCCCGTTCTGTCCTGTCCAATGGAGCTCTGTTCTGTTCCATTGGTCTATATCTCTGTTTTGGTACCAGTACCATGCTGTTTTGATTACTGTAGCAGTTGACTACATTTCTGATCAGGTTTACAATATTCATTGAGAGAAACAGAACGTTGTGCAAACAATCCACAGCATGACATGCCCCTCATAAAGCTTTGTTTCTGCATTGCAGGTAGTGCCGGTGTTCCCTCTGAAGTGTGACTCTGGGAAGTATTCTGGAGTTATTGTCAAGAAAAAAAAAGCTGGTTTCAATGTGAAGTGCCACCCTGATTCTGGGATTGTGATAGGAGTAAGCATAGTGCAAGTGTTTTTTAAAAACCTGAATTCCCCAGGGAAAAATCATGGCCAAATTTTGAGGCAGCAGCTGTGCTCCCTTTTGGGTGGCACTGAGTTGGGTGCTTGAGGATTGGTGGTGTCTTGTGTGAGGATGCATCATGTGATGTGAATATGAAGCTTCTGTGCAGGCAAGGCTGTGTGTGTTCTCAGGAGAGAGTTTCGGTTTCTTTTCTCTTTCTTTCTTTCTTCTTCCTTACTTCCTTCTTTCTTTCTCTCTCTCTCTCTCTTTCTTTCTTTTTTCTTTTTTCGAGACAAGGTCTCACCCTGTACCCCATGCTGGATTGCAAATGATTTTATCTTGGCTCACTGCAACCTCTGCCACCTAGGCTGAAACGATCCACCCACCGCAACCTCCTGAGTAGCTGGGACTGCAGGCACACACCACCATACCTGACTGATTATTTGTAATTTTTGGTAGAGATGAGGTTTTGTCCCATTATCCAGGCTGATCTGAAACTTTTGAGCTAAAGGGATCCACCCACCTCAACCTCCCCAAGTGCTGGGATTACAGGCATGAGACACTGCACCTCTCCCCTGATGGTGTGGTTTTCATCTCCAAAGTTTGATGGGTCATTTTTACATGTTCCATGTCTCTACTTAATTATTTGGGCCCATGAAATATGGTCATAATAACTGTTTTAAACTCCTCTTGGCTAATTCTACTATCAGGTCAGCTCTGGTTCCATTTCCATTGGTTATTTTCTTCATCATGAGTCCTGGTCTCCTGCCCCTTTACATGCCTGCTCTTCTTTGACTGGATGTCAGACATTGTGATGTTTTCCTTTTGTCCACTGGCCATGATGCTAACCCCAATAAAACTTTCAATACCAGGTTATTTTTTGTTGTTCTTGTTCTGGGTTACCAGTTAAGTGACTTGGGATCAATTTAATCATTTTGGGTCTTGCTTTTATGATTTCTTTTGGGGGGCAGGTTAGTGTAGCTAGAACTCATTATTCCCACTACTGAAGGAAGGCCTTCCTAAGAATCCTCCCCAAATGCCCCACGGAATATAAGTAGTTCTGTTTAGCTGGTGGGAGCATGTAGAATCTCCTGCCCGGTGAGCACCAGGCACTGTTTCATAACCCTTTCATGAGTTTCTTTTCTTGGCCTTGGGCAGTCTCTTCACAAGCATGTGCTGCTCACTACCTGAGGGAGACCCTTCCCATTTTCCCAGATTCTCTCTCCGTCCATGTTTCTCACTGCTGCATCTTTATTCTATGAGCCCTAGCTGCCTCGCTTTCCATGGAGGCTCAGCTTCATCCCCTCAATCCAGGGAGCTGGCCTCAGAGTCCTGCCTGGGGCCTAGCCTGGGAACTCCCTGAAGGCAGCAAGCTGGGGCAATGGGTAAGGTTCACCTTGTTTCTTTAGGGGTTGCTGTCCTTCGTCGCCTCATTTCCAGTGTCTTGAAAACTGTAATTTTATGTATTTTGTCTGTCTGTTTGGGGAGAGAAGCAGTGGCCAGGATTCAGGCAAGAGAGTAAATCAAGGCCGGGTGCAGTGGTCCATGCCTGAAATCCTAGCTCTTTGGGAGGCCAAGGTGGGCAGATCATGAGGTCAGGTGTTTGAGACCAGCCTGACCAACATAATGATACCCTGTTTCTATTAAAAATACAAAAATTAGCCAGGGGTGGTGGCACATGCCTGTAATCCCAGCTACTCAGGAGGCTGAAGCAGGAGAATTTCTTCAACCTGGGAGGCAGACATTGCAGTGAGCCCAGCTCACACCACTGCACTCCAGCCTGGGTGACAAAGCAAGATTCCAGCTCAAAAAAAAAAAAAAAGAGAGAGAGTAAATTAAGCATCTGTTACTCCACCATTGCTGGGAGAAGAAGGCATCTCTTTATGTGTTCCTAGTTTGACTTCAGTAAGAGGTGTGCCCATTTATCTTCCAATGTATTTTTCCAACTGAATGAGAGAGCCTTTTCCTTCGTGCTCTTACCAGCACAGCAAAGTTTACATATATGAATCTGATAGACCAGTGAGTGGGGTAGTGCACTACTGAGGTACAGAAGAAGCACATGGTGGACACTGCCTGCTCTGGCATGTATTCCACAGCTAAACTTCCAAGATGTTTGGAAAGTCTTCCAAAAATTGTAATTGTTTTCTCTTGTGATCTACCTAACGAGTCCAGAGAAAACCAGCCTGAGGGACCCTGAACTGCTTTCTGTCAAGAGGCTTATCCAATAGGAGGGGAAGGAATGGCTTTTTCCAGATGTTTGTTCCTCTTCTTTTCTCTTCTCCTTTCTTTCTTTCTTTTCTTTCTTTTTTTTTTTTAAAGAAAATAAGTTTATTTAGCAAATGATTCTAGAAATTGAAAAGTCCAAAAGCA